TTTTTCTAAGAATAATATAATATATCTATACACTACTTTATAAAGATTAAACAAGGGATGGTGATGTATGGAGGAATGAGGAAATTTTCCCAAGATTCATATATTTGAGAGGAAATAATTGTAATAGACGAGTAAATTTGGAGTCAACAAAATTGCTTCATGTTGACATGACCCTTTGATATCGACACTCCTCTATAGGAATCTATGTTTCTTTAAAAACAAAATTTTGATGTTGAACTTAATTAATATAGATAGAGTGAAAGTTTCAATTGTCGGCCCTAATTAAACAAATTAGTGTGTCATACATTCTTTTTTTTTTCCTTCTGATAAACTACACTCATTTTGACAGTCGTAAATTGAAAGAATAGTTTGTGTTATTTAGCATGTATTTTTTTTATTAAAAAATGAAAGAATTGTACAATTATATCTTTCAGATCACATGCAAATAAAAAAATGTATATGCTACATGAAATACTTTATGTATAATATTTTTGTTGGCTTAGGGCATCTTCAACCCATCGCATCAAAATGGTGTAAATTTTGTAACAAAATGGTGCAAAAGTCACATCTAACAGTAATTCATCTTCAATCCATTGCATCATTTTTTGCACCAAAAAAAAATATTCTCAGTATATTCTTTTTTATCTACTTTTTTATTATTATTTTTATTCCCTATATTTTTAACTATTTCAACAATTTACCCCACATACCAAATTTAATTTTTTTCACATATTTTTCAAACAAAATGATTTATTATTTAGAAAATTAAACTAATAAAACAATAAAATATTATTTTATTAATTAAAATAATTTGATTGCTAAAATATTATATTTTTATTATTGATATTACCAAAATATTACATTTAAGAACACAACAGAAAATAAAATACAAGAAAATAATTAAACATTAACTACAATATAAAAATTACAAATTTAATATGCACTTAACTATCTGAAATAGTGTATTCCTCCCATAAATGATCTATCAATGCATTACGAAGCGCAATATGGACATCTTTATCGTTGATTTGTCTGTAACGTGTAATAAATTGAGTAAATATTGTAGTTTCATCTGCTACAATATCAACTTCTGGTGTTGGTGCTTTCCTCACTTCTTGAATTGGTGCATAAAGGTCACGTTCATCCTCGCTCACTTCTTGAATTGGTGCATAAAGGTCACGTTCATCCTCGATTATCATATTGTGCATAATAATGCATGTAGTCATTATGTCATGTAATACATGTATTATCATATTGTGCATAATAATGCATGTAGTCATTATGTCATGTAATACATGTTTTTTCCAAAAACGTGTTGATCCTGCCACAATTGCAAATCGTGATTGGAGATGTTATTTATGCCTAACTTGTAGTTAGTTTGATTATTATTGTTAAAATACATAACTTGATGTTCACTATAATTTGAAGTTAGTTCGAGCAAAGATGTTATTTATGCAAGAACCAAAGTACAAAAAAGGTTTCAAATTTGATCATGTCTGGAATATGGTTAAAAATTTCAAAAAATTTAAATATGATGTCCCCACAGCAAGACAAGTTGGTCGAAGACAACCCCAAAGTGTGAACTTCGACTCGTCACAATCAGATAATCCCACTCCGGAATCTCCTATATCAACATCTCATGCACTGTCATCATTTACTCCATTTGAACGACCTATTAGGGTAAAAAAAGCCAAATTGAAAAGGAAAAATAATGATCATGAGTCAAGTGTAGTGGACTCCATCGAGACCTCCAACAACCGACTTATAGACATGTTAGACAAGGCGAGCTTGGACAGGCAAGTAATATTTGATATCGAACGAGAAAAGATAGCCATGAAAAAAGATAGAGATGAATGAAAAATTATAATGAAAGATTTGAATTCCATTGCTGATCCAAACGTGCGTGAGTACGTTCAAGCTCAACAGATTAAAATAATACAAAAAATAAATCAATAAGAACAAGGGACTGCTTCTAATTTTGGCAATTATTTCAATGATATTGGACACTCTGGCCCGATCTACCAGATTATTGAGAGTTGCTTGTCCATCTTATGTAATGTTCCATGTTTAGTTTGTATTTTATGTTTTATTTTAATGAAGTTTTATATTATGTGTGTCAGTTTTTATATGTTATGTATTTCAGATATGTAATTTATATTTGAATTATGTATTAAGATTGCTTTTTATATTTCATGGGACTTTTTTACTTATAATGTCTAGATTTTAATATTATAATTAATAATAATCTCTTTTAAATTTTAGCATTATTTTTATTTTTAAAAAATAATTTATTTTGTCCAAATTATACAATTGGGGTTTAAAAAATAATTTATTTTGTCCAAATTATACAATTGGGGTAAAATTATAAAATTTAAATATTATTGGGATTGTTTTATACATTTAATAAAATATACAATTGGGGTAAAATTATAAAATTTAAATATTATTGGGATTGTTTTATACATTTAATAAAATAATTGGGGTCAAATTGTAAATACATAAAAGTATGAGGTAAAATAAAAAAAGTAAAAAAATAAAAAAACAGTAATGTGGTGATGAACAGTGCGACGCCATATTTGGCGTCACGCTGTTCATCACCGCTAAAATGCAGCAAAAAAATGTCGCTGGATTGGAGCTCACACGCAGCGGCAAAACGACTTTTTGCCTCAAAATGCCGCTGCGTTGGAGATGGTTTTAGCCCATGCTATAAGTAAGGCATGAATTAAATTTAAAAATAGAGGAAAACTTCAATGTGACATTTAAACTATATATCAATGTAAAATTTAAAGACATAGCTCTGGGTGAAATTATGGATGGTGGGAAGTGCCATGTTCAACTACTCCTATCATTTTCATTTTGGAAAACAAAGGTGTTCACTGTTATGACTTCTAACTAGAACATGATTCTTTATAGACACTTCGAATTAATTTTTATGATGAAGCTAAGTTTTCTGGTTAATTAGAAAGCCACAAGATTCCATACCAATTCTTCTCCTTGTTTTACGAGCAGGTTGATCAAACCAAGTCTTCACATAATTCTGCCAATGCTTCTTGAAGTGTCCATTACGGATAACATTGTTATGCTTCACCATGACTTACCTGAATACCAGAATGAGCAAAAATAAGCATAAGTTTAGAAGGTTTAAGAAAATAAATCCAGACCTAAACTATAGAGACAACAGGATGAAATATGAAGTTATAATCAACCACAAGAGAAATAAAAATTATTGCAGGTTATCTGCTTTCCTATAGTACTTATAATATGAATAAATAATGGTGAAATTTTATAGTACAACTGAGCTTTAAGAATACGTAAACATGCACAGAGTAAATAGACAGACACATCATTGTTTAGTAGATAAGAGTCGAGAGTACTCGAGCAATGAAAAACGCCAGGATCTAAGTACATCTGAAAGAAAAATGAAAAGCTACAGAAATGTGGCTAAATTTGATGATTTTAAATCAGTTAAAGTCTGCCGCAATTTCGAAAGAGAGATTTTCCCTTGGTAAATTATTTCAATGTCAAATACTACACCAACTGATTACACAAAGCATCCTCATACTGTTAAATTGTTACACCTACAAAAACACCAGCAAAGGGGAAAACTATCTACACGGATCACATGGACATGACAAACTTGTGCTACGAGTATTGAACTGACCTATTGCAAGCTTCAAATTTGACACATCCTAATTTGTAACTAACACCTTCAACCCTAAAGAAAAGAGTTAAACTGCATCAAAAATGAATCATTGAACATTCCTTTTGTTGTTTTCATACGAGGGATCTGATGATAACCATTCACTAACTATCTATCTTTAAATTTTTGAGATTCGCGAAATTTCATACGAAAACTAATCACGAAAAACAAGTTTACATCATCATTTCAGTATATCCTAGAAATTGGTAGCACATGTCAATTGGCATTTCACCAAAATGGTTCGACCCCTATAATTTCTCGATGACTTGTTTGTTTCCTACCAGCTGAAATGAATTAATTCGACATAAAATATGGAACGCCCATGAAAACTTAAACTAGAGCACCTAATGAGCATACCATCTACGACATTTAAAACGAAAATTATTCTCAAATGCCAAATGTAAATGCATCAGCTTCTTCTAGTATGAAACAATTAACACAGAAAATCCGTACACATCCAATTTCGATAATAGCTACATATCATACTCAAATTTGAATCAAGTATATCCATGAAAAATGCTTGGAAAATTAAAAAAAAATAAAGGAAACGAGACATCATGCTATTTGTTCTAAATTACTTGAGAGAGATTAACAAGCTAGCAAACCTTAGATATCACGAAGAAAGGGGGGAAAGTAGTCATTAAGAGAGGGATGTTGCCTGCTCACAGAGAAACCCTAGATTAGGAAGTTTAGAAGCGGCTGCAAATATTATTTATAGGTCACTGTGAATGACTCGTGATCGTCCGATGAATGAGCAGTGTGATTACGATTTCGGATCCCAATAACGGATTAGGTGGGCGTTAACAACCGACCGACCCGCTAGCGCTCAAACCTCTCGATTCTGGATTCTGGAGGGGAAGCTGTTTATATTTTTATAGATCCTTGCATAATTATCGTATTTTATTAAAAAACATTTATGAGATTTTTTTTAATAGAAAAATATTATTTTATTTAAGTGTGACGAAATAGTTTATGTAAAAAGAAGTCAAACGCTTCTTAAATTTTTTATAATCACGTTCTTTTATTTAGTGATCCACAACACTAGCGATAAATGTTGATCGCTCTAGAAATAGTCCCTCAAATCAGCAATTTTTCCAAACCCTTAAATTAGTAATATTGCTATTAGGCCTTTCA